GATGGTAAGCACAATTTTGGATAGAGGTTTAGCAAACGTCTCCAAACTGCCATCAGATTTTACTTAAAGTGTGATTCAAAACAATCTTGAAGGACGCTACTCCTCAGATGAAATATATAAGGAATTATTAGGGAAGCAAAGAACATGTTGCATTTCTAAATGGTTTCATGCGCTAGAGGCCACTTGAGAGAATCACATAGCCAAATTCTAGTTCAAAGAAGGTGTGATCTACATCCCATTGAAGTCAATGGCAACGCTCCATTATTGATTTTCCTACCTCCAAGGCTCTAACTACATGAGTTGCTAATTGTGTTGCTGGCAATCACATCATTGCTGTTTATCTTTGTTTAATTACAGGCACGAGAAGTGATGCTCATCAGGCATACAGAGCACAGGGAGAGGAGGCTTGTTTGTTTTTTAAAAAATGTTTTTAATTGAAACCTTTAAATGTACAATACAATAAAAATCAAACTAATCTAAATAAAAATAAAAAGGGAACAAAAGAACAAGGGAGGAGACAGAGAGAGAGAGAAAACAGAGCCTTCTTTTAAAGGTAGGTCTTAATCTTGTCCCCAAACCTAGATAGCATTTTAAAAAGCAGAGACATCACCTTGCCAACAAAGGTCCTATAGTTAAAGCTATGGTTTTCCCAGTAGTGATGTATGGAAGTGAGAGCTGGACCATAAAGAAGGCTGATCGCTGAAGAATCGATGCTTTTGAATTATGGTGCTGGAGCAGACTCTTGAGAGTCCCAAGGACTGCAAGAAGATCAAACCTATCCATTCTTAAGGAAATCAGCCCTGAGTGCTCACTGGAAGGACAGATCGTGAAGCTGAGGCTCCAATACTTTGGCCACCTCATGAGAAGAGAAGACTCCCTGGAAAAGACCCTGATGTTGGAAAAGACTGAGGGCACAAGGAGAAGGGGACGACAGAGGACGAGATGGTTGGATAGTGTTCTTGAAGCTACCAACATGAGTTTGACCAAACTGCGGGAGGCAATGGAAGACAGGAGTGCCTGGCGTGCTCTGGTCCATGGGGTCACAAAGAGTCAGACACAACTAAACAACAACAACAATCTTGTCCCACACAAAAGAGGATGGACTCTCCCAGTTCTCGCCTGGGTGCTTCCTTTTCTTCTCCTACCCTACCACCCTGAGAGATCTTCCCTTCCCAGCCAGGGAGAAGAGGTTTGCAGCCATCCTGCACCATGATCACTGTGAAGATTGCCACCTGCATGGCACTAATGGGAACCCCCTCCCCACAAGTCTAAACACACTTGGGGTGGGGGATGCAAACACAAAATTTTCATTGTGATTACAGCAGTTAGACCTGACTGCCCTGTGCACTGCATTTTCAATTAATATTGTCTCCTCTTAAAGGTGAAGGTACCCCTGACCATTAGGTCCAGTCACAGACGACTCTGGGGTTGCGCGCTCATGTCGCTCTATAGACCGAGGGAGCTGGCATTTGTCCACACACAGTTTTTCCGGGTCATGTGGCCAGCATGACTAAGTCGCTTCTGGCGAAACCAGAGCAGTGCACAGAAACGCTATTTACCTTCCTGCCGGAGTGGTACCTATTAACTTGCACTTTGACGTGCTTTCGAACTGCTAGGTGGGCAGGAGCTGGGACCAAACAATGGGAGCTAACCCCATGGCAGGGATTTGAACTGCCGACCTTCTGATTGGCAAGTCCTAGGCTCTGTGGTCTAAACCCGTGTTCCTCCTACCTGTCTCCTCTTACCTGGAAATAAAGAAAGAAGATAGATCAGTGTATTGCACATGGCACAGTGAGCACAACATGGAGCTAGGCTTTAGACTGAGGCAACAGATCTCAAAGCAGATGAGTACATGTTTAGTTCTGTACATTCACCTACCACCCTGAAAGAGGAACAGGCAAACACCGATACTCCACATTGACGAGCTTTGGACATTTGGGGTACTCAGAGAGCTGCTCTCTGTCAAAAGCCCCTCCATTATTTGTCCATGAGCCATTTATGTGCCCATAAGGGCAAGCTAGATTGCAATTGCACTGTTTACTAACAGTGGTACGTCCCAGATGACCTAACGGATGCTGTATCTCAGTATGTGAGAGCAAACATTGGCAAGAAATATGCAAGCCAGCATTTTCTCCAGCTGCTCAGTGAAACCGAGAATGATGGAAAATATGGACAGTTTATTTTCTAACAAGCCACAATTGCTTTTCAAAACTCAAATAGTAGCATGTTTCATCAATAGACTACTTACGAAAATGCAATAGGCAGCAGGAAAGTAGGAACATCTGAACTCAGGATCTTTATTCTTTTTAGGGTTATTGATTAGCCTAATGATGCTTCTATTGAACGCCTTTCAGAAATGCATTTCCCATAAAAAAAAGAAGTCACTGTTTTCATTTTCCTTTATTGGAAAGTGCATGAAATGTTAGCCTAATAAAGAAAAATTCTAAAGTAGTGGGCAAGTTCGGAAAGCTTAAAGCTGCTCTGAGCAAAACGTTTCCAGGCAGCAGCATTTTCCACTCAAAACAAAACAACCCTGTTCAAATATAAAACGATGCAGTTCAGATTTCAGAGTTAAAAGAAGCACTAGAGAGCCCTTCAGTGGCATGTCTCATATCAACAACAACAACAATGGTGCCATATTATTCCGTGTCAGCACCCTATGCAAAAGACTGAAACCTGACAACCTATATTAACCCTTATAGTCTTATTATTATATTATCCATGCTCCACTAGCACTACAGTGGTACCTCAGGTTAAATATGCTTCAGGTTACATACGCTTCAGGTTACAGACTCCGCTAACCCAGAAATAGTGCTTCAGGTTAAGAACTTTGCTTCAGGATGAGAACAGAAATCGTGCTCCGGCGGCGCAGTGGCAGCAGGAGGACAAATTAGCTAAAGTGATGCTTCAGGTTAAGAACAGTTTCAGGTTAAGTACGGACCTCTGGAACGAATTAAGTACTTAACCTGAGGTACCACTGTACTTTTGCAGACCTCTCCTCTCTCTTAAGGATTTTCGCCCAATTTTTGAAGCCAAAGGACCACTCAAGGCAGTTGAATTAAATTAAGCAAATAACAACAAAATCAACCTAAAAACTATCAATAATTAAAACCATTAAGTTCCGTGTTATAGACATAACAGGGGGGAAACATGGCAAGAGGATTGCCAGCAGTCTGCTAAGACGTTCACATCATTCTAAAAATTAAAATATTACAGATTGTCATAAAAAACATACAGTGGGGTCCGTTGAGCATTGAAACCCAGAGAATATTTCAGCAACAAAGATACTGTTACTCAAAAGGTCTCTCAACATCTATCATGTCTAAGTGCTAAGGCAGACACTCCCTGCAATGATCTTTGCATGCTGGGGGAGGGTGCCTCTTGTGTGGGCAAATGTGGTTCTTTACAAGATTGGACCAGGACTGTGTCACTGTGAACTTTTCAAACCCAAATCCCCATTCTACAGGGTTCATTTCAAATAACACTCAGATTTAGAGTTGCTCTTTGTCCCTTACATTTCTGTTGAGTTAGAATAATTGCTTTGTTTCATGCACAGTCTATATTTCACTGATTCATAAATAGTGTTTCAGCATTTGTGACTTGGGTAGCTGTTCCGTATTTCAATATTTGCAGAACTTGTAATATAGCATACAAGTACTCTATGGGTAATCCATGGATGTTTAAATATTGAGACAATGGATTTATGTAAGAAAGCCTTACCATGATCAATTGGTAGCTTACCTGAAGGGGGGAAATGAATCTTTTAATCAAATTTAAATGAAGTATCATTCAGTGGTAGTGTCATGGCTATAAATGGTATGAATTTCTTGCTTCGATGAACATGCTTTTAGACGAATTTTTCAACAATAAGTGATTTTTTTTCTGTGTTGGCTAAGAAAATGCCTACGCTAATATTTTAAATGGTCATCTGTGTTGTTTATTTCAGTCAGTTAATTAATTCATTTCTGGAATCAAAAAGCATGATACCTAATTGACTAAAATAACATTGACCAACTGGTAATTCTTAGCTAAAAAACATTATTCCGTACAGTCCAGTTCTCAGCACTGGCACAGACATTTCTTAGACTGGAACAAAATGGGGGGGCCCCACTGCAAATTCCTACTCATAGAAAGATAACTGTTTTACAGGGATCTGAAGTCACCAAGTCAGGCAGAAAAAGAATGTGGGGAGATGCATTCGCAGGCACAACCCACTTCCAAATTTGCAATAGTTACTTTCCCAGTAAATTCCAAACGTTAAAGCTTAGCATCCTTCACAAGTGAGTAAGTAAGCAGGAAGGGCCAAAGCTCAGTAGCAGACCATCTGCTTCATGGTACAATCTTTGGCATCTCCAGTTAGGCCTGGGGAAACCCCAATCCGAAACCCTTGAGAGGTGCTGCCAGTCAGTGGGGGCAATACTAGATGGAACAGTGGTCTGAGCCAGTATAAATTTCCTTATGTTCCTGTGTGTTTTTTTCTACTTTCAAAAAAATAACCGTGTGAGCATTTGCCTCCTCACTGTAACAGCAGTTATATCCTGTTTACATCCCTGCCCCTCCAAAAAACCGAAGTGCCCCTTCACATATTTGTAATCCGCCAATGGAGTGGCAAAGGTACAGTAGTACCTCAGGTTACAGACGCTTCAGTTTACAGACTCCACTAACCCAGAAATAGTACCTCAGGTTAAGAACTTTGCTTCAGGATGAGAACAGAAATCATGCGGCAGCAGCAGGAGGCCCCATTAGCTGAAGTGGTACCTCACGTTAAGAACAGTTTCAGGTTAAGAATGGACCTCCAGAACGAATTAAGTTCTTAACCTGAGTACCACTGTAGGGAGGCAAATGGACTCCAATCCAGATTTTTTATTTTATTTATTTGAAAGCATTTTTGAACTGCTTAATGTTGCGAAATCTCTAAGCGATGTACGAAAACATGGAGATAAAAGCAGAACAGTATCATAAAAGCAGAAATCTACTGAGAGTAGGGTCTAATCTTATGGGTCATGGAAAGCCTGGGGACGACGACAATGCTGTGCATAAAGTTCAACTCATGCAATGGGGCTTTCTCTCCCTCTCTCTCTGCACGCCCTCAAAATCTGCTCTGGAGGGTCCTCCAACCGATTTTGAGGGTGCATGGGTTGGGAGTGGGGACTGCGTGGGAGAGGAGATGAAAAAGCATTGTGCAAGCAGATGTCTGCTGTGCTAGTGTTGGATATGGCCCTATGTCTTTAGAAGACATAGAATCATAGAATTGTAAGCACCCTGAGTGTTACCTAGTCCAACTCCCTGCAGTGCAAGAATATGCAGCTGTCCGATACGAGGACTGAACCTGCAACCTTGGCATTATCAGCACCACACTCTAACCAACTGAGCTATTGTCAGGCTGCTGCCAGCGACTCCCAGCCGGTTGCCCAGGAACTGTCAGCTGCATCCCATTGGGGAAAGCTTGGAGAGACAGGAGGAGGTAATTAGGCAGGAATGTGGAACGAGGGAGGAGCAGCCGAGTTGCAGTAGAAGCCTAAGCTCCGAGAACAAGGAGAAGGAAGGGGGGAGTTCAAGGGGGAAGACACAGACTGACAGTTTAAGCTCCGACAGAGGGAGGGCCACTGAAAATAGCCCATCCCATAATGCGCAGGCGAGCAAGAATTATCGAGAGGCGTGAACAGGGAAGGAAGCGAAGGGGGTTTTTAAATGTGGAAAGAGGAAGGGATGGAACTCAGACTCGGCAACAGCTAATTTGGAAGCAGACGCTGAGTGACTGAGCTCCAGAGTGATTTGTGTGTTTTGAGCAATAAACCTGAGTTAATTGCTGCCAGAGTTGTCTCGCTTCTGTGGGAGAGACCCAACCATTACAGGAACATACAAAGATAAGGAAAGGTTTCTTACCATCCGCTTTTTATTCAGTATTTACAGAGAGAGGCTGTAGAACCCAGCCTCTTGGATATTGGTGTTGTCCTGAATGAATCTCCAAACCCCATCTCTCCCACTTCCTCATTCGTCAATCTCATCATCTCTCCTACAGGTACTGCTAAGTGCCCTATGTCTTCAAGCTCTTTGCTCTCCTACTTTTAAGGCTCACCAAGTTTTGGGAGAGGGGGTCTGGGATGCTTTCTAAGACACTGTGTCTGTCAGCTGTGATCCCCCCTGGTGCTTCCTCCTCCTCCTCTCCCATTATTTCCCAACTTTTCCTCTCATCTGAGCTGTGATCTCCCTCAAATCCCTGTTGCAAATCTAAACTGTCTTCCTCTTCCTCCTCCCAGGATGGGTCAAGCTGGGGAGGTGGTCTCCACCATTCCTCCTCTGCCCAGTCCCTGACAGCTATCCACCTGAAGCAGCTGATGGATGATGCTTTGCGTATGGCAGAGAGAAGGGGCAATGGCAGTAAATGTCTGTCTTTGAGCCTTGTGGTATTTCATAGGGTACTGTGCCATGAGTAGAATTTTCCCCAGATGATCTATGTTACCTTACAGGACTATATGAGGGCAGGTGGTCCTTCAGGTAATCTGCTCTTGAGTTGTTTAGGGCTTTATAAATTAGAAACAAGGCATGGCTTAACATGGCCAGGTAGCTAACCAGAGAGCAGTTCCCTCATCACAGGTGAGATATGTGCATGCCCAGGTGCTCCACTCAACAAAATGGCCGTTGCATTCTGCTCCGTCAGATCCATCTCCACAATCCCTTCAGTTGCCTTTTGCACCGTTCTTCCCACATGCATGTCACACCAAACGAACCAAACCAAGCAAATTAAGTGAGCCGCAACACAGAAGAGGGCAGAAGGGCAATAAATCAAACATGCATTATACATTGGATCTCCTCACATGCCGGGCCTCTTTCCTTTGCGATGCCTGTCAAATTAGGCCAGCTATTCATTTCTTTGGCACAGCAGTCTAAAAAAAAAGAAAATTTATTCTTAGCGAGGAGGAACATGTGAGGAAGGATGCTGCTATACTGTGAAAATATTCTGGATACCTCTGGCTTTTTAACCAGTCCTCCCATCCTGGAATCGTGCCCAGTTCTCTCTATTTCTCTTTGCTCTCTGCAGAAAATGATGTGGCTGCAACTTTTTAATCAAGCGCTGTCCTCCTATCAGAAGGACTGCTCCTCCGGGTTCTGTCGCTACTGACCTGTCATAATCATAGGAATGAAAACAACGATATGTACCCAGCAAGCAGAGGAATAATTGGAAGCATCTAATCCATAATGTTTTCTTTTTTGGAATTATAATGGCCTGGTGAGTGACTGGGGCTTAACCCAGGTCAGCCAAGTCTCAGGTGCACACCTTGGCTTCAAAGATTCTATACATGGTGTCTGGATTCTGGAATAATATTGCTCAGTAGTTTCAAGAACTTAATGACTCATTGTGATGGAAATTAGCTGTATTTGTTTGGTCAAACTTTTTGATCTGCTCCATATTGGCTGCCTAAAACTTCCTCTGGAAACAGCATGGGAAGAACAGAGGGATCATAATTGGGCTTGGTAGAGCTGTTTCCCTCCTTTCCCTTGAGGGATAGCTCACTCGGTAGAGCATGAGACTCTTAATCTCAAGGTCAGGGGTTTGAGCCCCACATTGGTTGAAAGAGTCCTGCATTGCAGGGGGTTGGACTAGATGGTCCTCATAGACCCTTCCAACTCTACAATATATTATTCTATGATCTACATCCAGGTCTTCCCTTATTCCAATGGCCCTTATATAGTAACACTGCCTTACAGAGGGGGGTTTCCAGCTACCCCACCCACTGCCTCTGGAAGCCCTGTAGGAAGTTGATGCAGGAGAGAGAGAGAGAGAGAGAGAGAGAGAGAGAGAGACTGTGAGTAACACCATGGGATGGGTTACTCCCCAAATGGTGATGCCAGTGGGACATGGATTCTTTGGGGAAGCTGATGCCTAGACATGTGATCAGACTAACTTGACCCATAGCTAATTTGGAGCAGGCATGGCAGCAGTGGCTAGGCTAGGACATCTAGGACCAAGGCGAAAAAGTTCGAGCTGCATCACTTACGGACTCACTGTTAAAACTGTGTTCATGGAAGACAATCTTACTTGGCTATGAGTGATCGCCAAAGAAGAAGAAGCACCAGATACAAATCATAATCTGAACATAAGCTTTACTACATTTGCAGTAAAGATGAGGAAAGGGGTCCTATCTTCACAGACCTTTTAGAACGTTTGTGTAAATCAGGGTATGGGAAACTGTGGTCCTCCTAAAGTAGCTGTCCCTGGCCACTGTCCTCCTTGGCCACTGATGATGCTGTTTAGGGTTGATAGGAGTTGAAGTCCAACATTTCTGGAGGTCCACAGGTGCATCACCTCTGGCAAAAATGTCCGAACTTTATGAAAGCTTCAGCTGCTTGGTGAATCTGGAAAAAGCTGCATTAGCTTGCATTCAGATTAAACAAACAGAATTGCCTTGCCTCCTTTGTCCTTTACAGTTTTTTTTTTTAAAAAAAGCAGTAATCCATATTATGTCTGGATGCAAGCAAAGCCTTTCAGAATAGATTTGCCTTCTCTTCCCCTTTGTTTGCCAGATACCACACACAGGCTCGCTCATTCACACCCCATAGCCGCAAGTAGTGTTTCTGTCTGCCATAAATTTATGTAATTACATTGAAATGTCTTATCAATAATTCAATTATTCCATTAGTTTTACATTAAGAAATAAATAGAGTTAATACATGTATAATTTATCTGCCTATAAACTAAATAGTTTTAAATGCATTTTTTTTCCTGGGCCTAAAGTGGTAATAGCTTATAAAATGAGAAAACTGTAATAAATCTAATCACCTGTACCTTGAAACATCCCATAAGGTAGAGTATATTGAAGATGAACTGTTATGCAGTCCACAAGAATAAGATAACTCTGATAAAAATGCCTCTATTCACTGGTAAAGTCTGGGCTTGGGCCTGGTTAATTAAAACTCAACTTGTAATTATTTGATATGATGAGACACAGAGATAGCACACCCATCAAACCTTGCTCTTGGTACCTATTGACTATTCTTTAAAAAACAATATTTATAATTTTCATTATCACCATTTCCAAAATCACATTCACCTTCAAATAAACATCTCCACCATTAATATCTTTCTTTTAATAAAGACATTCAACAACTTCCTTCTTCCAAGGTTTCTTTAATTTTCCCACCATCCCTGCATATTCTTATATATCCATTTAGATCACTTTCTCCCCTTATTCTTCCTTTAATATATATTATACTGTTGAATTTACCTTAATGCTGCTAGCGTTTTCACTTGTTTATAATTATTTTCCAGATACTCCACAAAGCTTTTCCACTCCTCTTTATAGAGAGCAAGAGATCTTCTTACTCTCTTATTTTACTTGTTAGACCTGCCAACTCTGCATATTTTTAATCATTTTTAATTGCCAACCCACCTTTTAAAGGACCTCACTCACCCGCCATTTTGGGGCTAACAAGATCTGAACTGCTGTAGTGGCATATATAAATAATTTTCCTGACTCCTGGGTTCCCAGAAGAAATGTCTCTGGTTTGGGGGGGGAATGGTGGTTATTGTTGTTGTTTCAAAAAAAGACACCCCCATCTCTTTATATATCATTTCCCAGTACACTTGTACACCATCATGTTAGAGTTACTGGTATCTTGGAAGAGTGATGGGTTGTTAAACAACTCAGAGAACTGTAGCTCTTTGGGGTGAATCTTCTTCTTCTTCTTTGCCGGTCACTCGTAGCCGAGTAAGATTGTCTTCCATAAACACGTAAGAGACTGTCAAGGCCGATTCTGGATCCACACGTCCTTCCACAGTGGGGACATTGGTTTCCAGGCAGGAGTTGATCATGGTGAGAGTTTGCCAAGTGTGCCTTCCTCTTAGCTCATTTTTCTCTTTCGTCCTGAGTGTGAGCGTCTTCAAAGCCCATGACACCTTTGATAAAGGCTGTTCTCCAACTGGAGTGCTCGCAGACCACTGTTTCCCAGTTGTCTGTGTTTATACTACATTTTTTTAGATTTGCCTTGAGAGAGTCTTTAAACCTCTTTTGTTGACCACCAGCATTACGCTTTCCATTTTAAAGCTGGGAATAGAGTAATTGCTTTGGAAAATGATAATCAGGCATCTGCACAACATGACCAGTCCAACAAAGTTGATTATGGTTTGTATCTGATGCAAAGGGAGTTAGTGCATCTGAAGAATATGATGCTGTCTTAAACCCACAACTATGGGAAGTATCCAAAATTGTTCTAACAGATTGCTGTGGCACTTCGAGCATTTATGCTTTTCCTGATGGGGAAAAATATCCCTTCTCCTCCCTTTGGGTGCTGTTATGGGGGTTCCTCTGAATTCCCTAAGCCAATTGGGGGGCATTTAGAAGGAGGAGAGAGGGTAACAGATAACCACTGTGTGCAGTTGAAAGCAAACGCTTAACACTCAATTCCTAACAGCCAAAACTCCATAACCTCCATCGACCATTTCTGCATTCGTCAGCAGCATTACTTATTCATCGTCTCAGCATTAAAGTATTTGTATTGCAATGCAAAGTTGTTGCCGGGATTAAAAAATAAATAAAAATTAGCTCCTTGTATATTCATACATTTCAGCTTGGCCGGAAACTTCTGTCAGACTATAAAACATTTGAGTCACTCTTTTCACAATAAAGTTGAGTCATACAGCACTCTTTCTGCCAAGTTTCTTGCAATAAGGTAGTTATTTGAAGCAGAAAGTCACAGGGGAAGAGTAGAAGGGATCCACACAATCACAATAATTTCCAAAAAATTATTGTAACCATTCTAACCTGAAGGCTTGGCTGTTTGAGACCTCTGTCACAGGCCAGGGGACAATGAAGCATAAGAAACTCTGTTATTGGCAAACTATCATGTGAACTCACTGCATACCCTCCAACATTTCTCTGAAAATAGGGGCATCCTAGATATTATTATTATTATTATTATTATTATTATTATTATTATTTCCCAGCCACTCTGGGTGGCTTACAGTACATATAACAGTACCTATTAAAACACAGTATGTCAAACATTAAAAACTTCCCAATACAGGACTGCCTTCAGATGTCTTCTAAAAGTTATGTAGTTCTTTATCTCCTTGGCATCTGAAGGGAGGGCATTCCACTCGATAGTGGCGGGTGCCACTACTGAGAAGGCCCTCTGCCTGGTTCCCTGTAGCTACCCTTCTTGAAGTAAAGGAACCATCAGAAGGCCCTCAGAGGAGGACGTCAGTGTCCTGGCTGAGCGATGGGCATGGAGATGCTCCTTCCGCATCTCCACTCCCACATATTAAAACATATTAAGACTACCTATACATAGTTGCTTTGAAAAAATAGAAGCAGCAGCCATTAATGTCACTTTGAGCACCCTCTGGCAGAAAATGTGAGTCAGTCACACATTCCTGAGATACAAAGAGGACCTGTCTTGTGTGAATGGTCCTTACGGTCCTTCTTCTTCTTCTTCTTCTTCTTCTTCTTCTTCTTCTTCTTCTTCTTCTTCACCTAAGAACCATAAAAAGAAGCTATTCTTCAAAGAAGGTAGTTTTCTTAGTCATAGAAACCTGTGTTCTCAAAATGCTCTCTCTATGTGTGTGTGTGTGTGTGTGAGAGAGAGAGAGAGAGAGAGAGAGAGAGAGAGAGAAGATTCAAGCTCAGCGCATCCACTTCACTTCCCTTTCCTGCTGCAACTGTTGGAAAACTGAGACTAAAGAACACTTCCCCTCCTGACTGAGAACAGCTTGGAGTCTTACTGCCTCCCTGCTGTGCTCGGCAAAATCGCTATGATTCTTTGACAGTTGGAGCTTAACCGCCCCAGCCCCCTGCTTGCCATGCTCGTGGGGGAGCTGAGAAAAAGAGACAGTGCTCCCACGGCTCAGAAAGAAGTGATTTCTTGCCTGTGTGCTCCCTTTAAAAAAAAATGAGAGAGAAACCTTCTGAGAGAAGCAAGCGTAAGCAATTCCCTCTCAGCTAAGGTAATTGTTTCAAGTTTGGAAGTTGGCAAACGTTTCTCTCAGTTTCCTCGAGAACTCGGATGTCTGCTGTGCCATTTAGAACTCGAGGAGAACAATTAATGCTACCCTGGTTCCAAACACGCCATTTAAGGATTCAAGCACATTAAAATGCACTCACACCTGTATGCTTCTGCTGCAGCTGTGAAATTCTTTCCGTTTTGTCGGATGGATTTTGTGAGGATGAAGAGGCAAATATTTTCTCCCGGTACATTTCTCCCAGAACCTTTGCATATATGTGGGAAAGTGCTTCTAAATACAGTGGTACCTCAGGTTAAGTACTTAATTCGTTCTGGAGGTCCGTTCTTAACCTGAAACTGTTCTTAACCTGAAGCACCACTTTAGCTAATGGGGCCTCCTGGTGCCGCTGCGCCACTGGAGCACAATTTCTGTTCTCATCCTGAAGCAAAGTTCTTAACCTGAAGCACTATTTCTGGGTTAGCAGAGTCTGTAACCTGAAGCGTATGTAACCTGAAGTGTATGTAACCCGAGGTACCACTGTAAATGTCTGAGCAATTACTTACAGCCATGGAGGTGGCAGGCTATCTTTTTAATTTTAAAACGCAGGCGTTTCCAGGATGCTAATTTGCTGCCTGTTTGTAAATATGTAAAGGTAAAGGACCCCTGGAGGGTTAAGTCCAGTCAAAGGCGACTATGGGGTTGTGGCACTCATCTTGCTTTCAGGCTGAGGGAGCCAGCATCTGTCCACAGACAGCTTTCTGGGTCCTGAGGCCAGCATGACTAAGTCATTTTTGGCACAACAGAACACCGTGACGGAAACCAGAGCGCATGGAAACGCCATTTACCTTTCCGATGCAGGGGTACCTATTTATCTACTTGTACTAGCATGCTTTCGAACTGCTAGGTTGGCAGGAGCTGGGACAGAGCAACGGGAGCTCAATCTATCACGGGGATTCGAACCACCGACCTTCTGTTCGGCAAGCCCAAGATGCTCAGAATCCCTCTTTGTACACATATGTCTACCTGTTACTATATTTCATGTAATGGACTCTGGTCCATGAGAGCTTATGCCACAACATACAACAGGAATATATCATGATTCTCCGGCAATGAATGTGGGGAACCTTTGACACCCTAGTCGTTGCGGAACTGCAAGTCTCATCAGCCTCAGCAAGCATGACTAATGGTCAGAGGTTGCTACATACCTTCCAATATCCATCAGATGAAAATAGGGACATTTCTTACTCCCCACAACTGACCCTCCTTGATCCCCCCACCATTTTTGTCACACCCACCCACCACAGAGCATTTCCTATCAGAGGAAGAGTGAGTGTCACAACCACTGTACCAGCCGGACCCAGCACCCAAACCCTTCACCATCCTGAGAAAACCTCTTAATTCCGATTTTATTTTATTTTATTCTTCAATAGATTGAGAAAAAGCAAAACACGCACTAATAAATAAATTTTTGAAAGGGGCAAGATTAGATGCGGGTGCACAAAGCATTTTTTGTTTCTTGTTTTTAATCAAAACTCCTTGCACTCTGTTTCTTCCTGACCAGAGTGGCTCCTTCTGGATGTGAGGGTGATCTGGCTGTGACATCTGTCACCCCATTGATCACCAGGGTTGATTCGGCTGATCTGGCTGGCTAGGTGAGAGTCCCCTTCCTCTCTCACTCCTCCATGTGCATCCCTCCCGAAGCTGTGCCCTTGGTGGATGAGGACAACCATCCCAGATTGTAGGAGAACGTAGGGGCTCCTTCCAATTCTGTGATTCTGTGACACGTGAACTGAAAAACTACAAGTTCCATAACATGGAAGGTGCCATAAAGGTTTTGATGTGCAAGTGAACATTGCTTGTGAAACTTCCTTGGCATTTGGGATTGAGTCTGTTCCCTGAATGTCATTTTAAAGGAAGCATTCGGTGCTTAATAACTACACTTAATTTCTATGCTGGAGGAGAAAGTAGGGGAGGATCCATTTATAAAACATGCATTATTTACCCAAGTGACTGAAAACAACTCCTGAGGAGCTGTTTCGGTGTTTAATATATTTATTATTCAGGGAGTTTGTTTTTTGGTATTATATATTCATGTAACCTTTAATGCAGATTGGGAACAAAGATATGTGGTGGTTGCTAAGGGTATCCATCAGTAAGATTTGCTATCGTTCTAGAACAGTGGTTCTCAAACTTTTTTTTTCCTCTGGACCGCATTTTCAGAATAAAACTCTGCTCGCGCCACATCAAATTTGTTATTGATAAGGAATATATTGGGAAACGAAAAGAGACAACTCATTAACGGTGCTTGATTTATAAGATGGAATGCAACTACTGTATGATGTGAACATGGAACATCCAGAAAGTAAAAAAATAAATAAATAAAAATGCATCTATGTACGAACATGAATCATTCCCAAAATATAATATTGATTGCCCTTGAATCTTCCTGCCACATTTCCCATCCTCTCCTGCCACACCAGTCCAGGCGCCACACCCTTTGAAAGACACTATTCTAGAACTGCCTCTCTCTCACATTCATGGCTGACTCAGACAAGCATTCCCTGGCATGGTACAGTCCTCTTATGAATAGTGTACTACCCCAGAATTTACGTTGGTGTGTGGGTTAATATGAAAGGATTCTCCATGTGAAAAATATACATAGCAGCAAGCTTACATAGCAGTGATGATCTATCATCAGGAATGCAAACTTTCCAGAAGGGACATCATATTGATGGAAGGCACCGTCAAATAGCAACCCACAATCTCTCTCTCTCTCTCTCTCACACACACACACACACACACACACAGAGAGAGAGAGAGAGAGAGAGAGCACTTGGTATAGTCAGCTGAGAGGACTGGATCATGTCTGAGAGAATCCATTTGATTCATATTTCACACACATGACTGCAATGCTATATACCACATGTGGGGAACCTTTGGCCCTCCAGAAGTTGCTGAACTACAACTCCCATCATCCCTAGCCATTGGCCATTTTGTAGAGGCTGATGGAAGTAGTAGTTCAGCAACATTTGGCAGGCCAAAAGATTCTCCAAACCCTTGGCAGGAACAGCAAATGCCATCTAGTCCAAACCCCTGCCTATGCTACAACACCCACAATAGGTTTTCAAAACTTGTCTAGAGCAGAAACTTGATGGATTTTTCTAGGAAGAGAGTTCAACCATCGCAGCACTACCACCAAGAAAGCCCTGATCCTGCCAAACTCATCCTAACCAATGACAGGCCAGAGATCAAGTTCTCTGGTGCCAATCTTAAAGTTTGAGTAAGTTCTTAGCAGAAACTGTTTGATAAAATATTATTCAGTTTTGCTAGGCAGGAGAGTTGATTGGGAGGTCTTGTACAACAAACCCACTTTCCCCCAAAATCAGGGGTTTTTCTGAGGTGTGCGTGTGTTATTTTGCAGTAAGGAAAGTAACTGGAAATGACCGCTCCCTGCTTAAAACGGGGGGCGCCCTTTGCGTGGACGCGCGCAGCCCTGGAACTGGAGCGGCCCCATCAGCATAGGCTTGGCTTTGCCTTCCCTCAGGTGGGATACCTGGAGGTCCCCGCCTACCTCAGTCAGTTGTCCAATCCCACCTGGGGGAAGCGTTGCCAAGGAGACAAGGCCAGGTAGGGGAGGGATTACCTGCCCACACAATAGAGGGAGGATCTTACCTGGGAATCCTCACTTGGCTCCAGAGCTTCTCCCACCCTACCCACCCTCAGTTAATGCCTTCCTTTGCAGGTTAACTTTTCTTCATAGGTTTTGCAGGTTAACTTTTCTTCACAGGTATGCGGGCGCTGCTACGATAAGGTCGCTGTTAAAGGGCCGGAAAGGAATTTCCCTGCATTGGCAGGTTTCACCTTTCCCGTAGCAAAACGTCACAACTTTGGCGGTATCAGGCCTTGGGCGGAATCCTTTAGTCCATCTTCCTCTTTGCAGCGGCGATACCAGGGTTCCCCGTTAAAGGGGTTTCTGAAGGGAGGCTTTGACCGTACGCCGAAAGGTCGTCATTGCTCTCCCCTGTGGCGGCGGCGTAACGGGGGTGGCTATCTCTGCTTGAACATATGTTCTCCAGAGCTGGCCCATCCCCCCCACACACACACTGGATAACCCTGAAGCTCCCTAGGTCCCCGGCTGGGGACTGGGGAGGGAGAACGCCCAATGCCTGAGCCAAGGTCTACCCACATTTGAAATTTAATAAAGTTGTGGCCAATTTAATCCCATAGCACGTTGTCTTGAGTCGTTATTCCACATGACAGGGGGGACCGCTCGGGATCTGGGGACTCCGCCTGTCCACGCAAATGCACTAGAATGCTGTGTGATATCACTTGCTTTGAAACATTGTCATCTAACCTCCCTGCAAACCAATCACAATGAATACTGAATAAAGAGGTCAGCTGGAAATGCCCCTAGTCTTCCAGAAACACCTCTCCAAGCAGTATAAACCATAGTGTGGACAGGCGGAGTCCCCCAAGCCCTGGGCGGCCCCCGTGTGGAATAATGACTCAAGACAACGTGCTATGGGATTAAAATTGGCCATAACTTTGTTATGTTTCAGATGTGGGTAGACCTTGGCTCAGGCACTGGGCGTTTATCCCTCCCAGTCCCCCACCGGGGATCTGGGGAACATCAGGGTGATCCAGTGGGGGGGGGGCTGTCTCTGGAGAACATATGTTCAAGCAGAGAGAGCCCACCCCCATTATGCCGCCGGCACAGGGGAGAGCAATGACAACCTCTATGCCTCCCCTCAAAACAACCCCTTTAACAGGGAACCCTGGTATCGCTGCCACAAAGAGGAGAGGGGTCACCACTGCACGCCCCACCCCCAATTTAGGGAAGATAGACTAAAGGATTCCGCCCAAGGCCTGATACCGCCAAAGTTGTGACGTTTTGCTACGGGAAAGGCAAACCTGCCAATGCAGGAGAATTCCTTTCCAGCCCTTCAACAGCGACCTTGACGTAGCAGCGCCCACGTACCTGTGGAGCAAAGGTTAACGTGCAAAAGAAGTCTGAACTGAGGGTGGGTAGGGTGGAGAAGCTCTGGAGCCAACTGATGATTCCCAGGTAAGATCCATCCCTTATTGTGTGGGCAGGTAGTCCCTCCCCCTACCTGGCCTGATCACCTTGGCAACACCTCCCCAGGCAGGATTGGGCTGAGGTAGGCGGAGACCTCCAGGTATCCCACCTGGGGGGGAGGCGAAGCCAAGCCTGTGCTAATGGTGCCGCATAGGGTCCAGGGAGCTGTGCGCGACCACGCAAAGGGCACCCCCCATTTAATGTGAGGAGCGGTCATTACCCTGCATTTCCACTCCTGGATTTACAATAGCTAAGGGCTCAACCAGACTTCCTTTTGTGCCACACTTTCCAGGCACAGATCTGGACTTTTCAGGTCCCAATCCTAGTGGTTTGGGGTTGTTTTTTTGACCCACCATTTTCCCCTGGGGAAACCCACCACTTGCCACTGAATTGGAACAAACTGCAATCTGCAGAAAACCCGGGTGCCTTTTGTTCCAATTCAGTGGCAAACAGTGAGTTTTCCCAGGGAAAGCTGTGGGTCGACAAACGCTCAGGCCTGTGCCTGGAAGATGCAAAAGGAAGTCTGGTGGAGCCCTAAGTGTGAGCTGATTTGGAAACCAGTAGTCTTTAAGTATGAAAAACAAGAGTACAGTAAGTTTGATACTTTCTGGAGCTGGAAGGTCCTGTGGCAAACACTAGGCAACCACACACACAAACAATGCCTAATAAATGCATTCAGGCTTTTCTCCTGAATCTTTAAAATTTAAGCCCTGCTAGCGCCGTCGCTTTGCAATGTCAAGGGAAGCAGCAGCTGCTGAGCTGAACAGAAGGACCATCCATTTTACTGTTGCTTTGTTTTGAAAAATGCTAGAGCGAGTGGGGGAATAGAACCAGCTTAAATGTCAGCACTTGGAAGTGGAGTAAACAGCAAGCAGCTATCAGTAATCCATCTCCTTTGTTTTTAAAGTAATGTTTTACTCCTGACAGGCAATTTAATTGCTAGTAGGAGTAACCACTAGACCTGAAGAGATGAAAACTCTGGGACCAATTCTCTTTTTTTGAGCCCGCAGTTTTTCTTCATATTTTCAAAGCAAATATGGCATGAGATGCCATTAGCTAGAACTGGAACCGCGTTCTCGTAAGGAGTTTGAGATTTCCAATTAATTCTTTTCAGGGTCAAATTGTGACCCTACACTTTAGGGTAGGGGAAAAAAACCAAGAGTTGTCTCATAGCCATTTTAGCACAGGATCTATTTGTGGTTGCAGTGAGGAGGAAAATGATCACAGCTGTTGTTTTTTAAGTAGAAAAGACATTGGACCTTGCTCTATACTGAGTCTGGTCACTGGTCTATGTGGTTTAGTATTATCTACACTGATTGGCAGTGATTCTTGAGGGTTTCAGACACATGTGCATATATGAAGTTGTTGCTGTTGTTCTTGTTAACTCAATATGTATTGCTTTACAATTATTTTTGTAGGCTGTGCTGAAGAGAGAGAGAGAGAGAATAGAAAGCTACAACTGCATCAGTTTCCCCCCCTAAAAACCAAACTACCATCTGGTTAGCACAAAAATGAATCGTGTGGTTTATATGCCTCTTTTCCCCCTTGCCAGATCTCCTTAAATGCACTGGCAAGAGTCAAGCTTGGATGCAGAGGAAACAGCCTGTCAGGTTTGTCAGGCTTGAAGAGATATATTCAAAATGATTTTTTTTTTCATGTGGCTCTATTTAGCAAGGTCAAACTCTTCTTGGATTTATTTTTATTTATTTATTATTTAAGGGGGGGGTGGTTGGATGCAAAATCCTCCAGCATTTTCTTTTAAAAAAAATGTTTACCTTCCCTTTATTTGGTCTTTGTGCAGAAAGAAAGAAAAAGATCTCATTACATTTTCAAAAGGCAGAACATGATCTTTCCAAGTTAAGGATTAAGCAGGGAGGATGTTCTCTTACCATCTGTGAAGGTCACGAGTTTCCAGAAACCTGATTGCAACAAGAATGCAGCCATTATCCTTCAGGGCTGTAAGGCTCACTAGGTACATCAAAACACCACCTACAGTGATGGTTTGCTAGATGGCAAAATGCCATTGACCAGAATTTTAGCCATGAATGGCTCCTCTTCTGGAGGAAAGGGAATGTTATTCTGTTCTCAAACCAGACATATACACCCTACACCTTCCCTGAACATGCCCTGCTTCTTAACCATGATTGTATCGTGTATCAAATGAGGGAGCAGAAATAGAACGGTTGAGGTTGATGTACTTGACCATCCTTTC